TGGAGTGGGGAGCAGGCTGCTTCTTCCCTTCCAAACCCCAAGCCAAGAGAGGACGGTTCAAAGAAGAGTCACTCTCGAGACTGGGAACACCAAGGGGGGGGCATGTTTCTGGCATCTCACTGCTGGTTGAAGGGTGCCTGGGGCTGCCCACGACAGTGGGTGAGGAGCGAGGGCAGCAGGGCAAAGGTGCATTCTTAGGCTTGAGTCAGCCTGAAAAGACGCACCCAGGAGGGCAGCCCGCCTGGCAAGGGGACCTCAGAAAGAGAATGCGTGGTACTTCCTGGGGTATGAATGGAAAAGGGGTGCGCAAGAGGTTACTTAGAATGTGCATTGGGTCCCCATGGAGGTCTCCAAAGACCTGCCAGTTAAAGAGCCCGGGATGGGGGGAGGGCACCTGACACTCAAGAGAGAACTACACCTGTGCTCACCTGTTCTCAGCTGAGGGGCCCTTTCCCAGTCATTGCTCGGCTCCTGTGCTTCAGGGAGGTGAACTAGAGAGGAGGCGGGAAAGGACGCACCTGCCCAGCCCCCACTGCAGATCCCTGAGGCATCTGTGGGCCAGACCAGGGCAGTAAAGAAGGTATTAAATTGGATGAGAGGAAAGTTTTGATTGGACTAGACTGGACTTCTGCTACCTGAATACCAGACTGTTCTTACAGTTGAAACAAAAAACGATAGGATCTAATGAGATATTACCAAGTTCAGCCTAGGCAGTAGCCCGGTAACAATGAAGCCATGAGACATGTCATTCAGGGGTAGTATGCAGTATCCGGGATGAAAAACAACAACGACGACAACAACACAATTCTCATCCGTTAGCTCCAGCTCTCCAAGCTTGGAATTGGTGAGGTTCATATTGCTCTGAGGTTCAAACGACCTTAAGCTATACCAGGAGCAGCATATGCAACTGCCTGCAGGGGCCAGGCAGGAAATGGAAATAATGAATGAAGGGGGCTGGGAGGGGAGGCTAGTGAACTGGAACCTGTGTCCCATCTGAAAAGGACAGCGACCTCTCACATTCAGCCACTTGCTCCCCAGTATGGCCAGTTCATCCCATTTCCCCAGAAAGGCCAAAAAGCCCCCCCCTTTTTGGTTACATCTCCTGTTTTTGAATTATTGTCAAGAATATTAGAGTTCTTTATTGCAAATGACACAATCTACTCCAGGTGGTTTGAGCAGAAGGGCCTTCACAGGGCAGTACTATGGACTGAATTGTACCCCCCCCCCCAAATCCATACATTGAAGTCCTACCCTCAGTGTATATTTAGGGTCTTTCGGAGGAAAAGATGACGTCAAAAGGGTGAAGCCCCAGTGGGGCTGGGGCCTTGGGAGAAGGGGAAGCCATGTGAGCCTGTCTGCCGTGTGAGGACAGCGAGAAGGTCTGCGAACGACTCAGGAGGAGAGCTCTCACCAGAACCTGACCATGCTGGGACCCTGACCTCAGATTTCCAGCCTTCACAACCGTGAGAACAATTTCTGTTGTTTAAGCTGCCCAGTCTGTGGCATTTTGCTATGGCAGCCTGAACAGACTAAGACAGGCGGTTAGAAAGCCTATAGAATCCCGAGGAGAGGAGAGGAGAGGAGAGGAGAACCGGGCTTGGACGGTCAGCCAGGAAGGAGGCCCAGACCACAGCGTGGACACCAAGCCTACACAGGGCAGGCCACCTGGAAGCAGCCGTCCTCACTGTCAGAGGGATCTGCCTCTGTGTGGCTCACTCCCATAGAAATCTCATGCGATGTGTTTCACGACAGAGCCTCGATCACATGAAACCTGGCTGCAAGGAAGTTTCTGGAAAAGTGCTTTGGTTTCTCTTAGGGAGACATGAGAGTCATAATGTGGGGCATTTTCCAAACATAGGAAGGATATTCAAAGGAGGTTGGGTGGATACAAACATAACAAATATCCACTAAAGCAATCAGTTGCAAAAAAATAGGGAGCTGGTCAAACAATGCATTTGTATGTTATAGTCCAGCTGATGACTTCTGAGCTGTGGGCTACTTTCATTGCTCAAGTCTCCACTTGGTCTGAAAATAGCTGGAAAGGCCAGATCCAATCACCACCACCACCACCACCACCACCACCACCACCATTAGAGGCATTCAGAGAGCTCTGAAGCAACCAAGACTAGAGGGGCCAAGATTCTGGAGCGAGAGGAATTGTATTGAGGCAAGTTGACCTTCTGAGTCACTTTTTCCTGCTGTTGGGGGACAGAGAAACAAGCAGAACTTTTGGCAGTCTCATAGGGTCGAGATAAAATTTGAGAGGCTAATATTCTAGGGAAAGGGTGAGCCCTCTCTAGAGTTAGATACCATCACCTGGAGACTTTCTTCATTTTTTTTCTTTCATGCACCAATTGTGCATTCAGTGAAAATTACAAGGCCTGCCAAGAGACAGGACTAAATTACCAAAAACAGAGAAAAACAGTCAATAGAAACAGACCTCACAGGTGACCAAGGTATTAGACTTAAACAAGGGCTTTAAGTGAACGTTGATTAATGTGTTCAAGAAAAACAAAGCACATAGTGGGACAAAATAGATGGAAAGATAATTTCACAGAGAACAGGAATCCATAAACCTCACAGTCCAAAAGACTGGGAGCCTGCAGCCTCTCCTCCGCAGAGGGATTTTGAAAATGCCGACTCAGCTCTGTGTGAACTATAAAACCCTGTGACCTACAGTCCGAAAGACGTTTGCCAACACTGGCCGTCATTCTATTTCTCAAGTGGTTTCCTTCTACTCTGCCCCACGAGCCTAGTTCCTTGGCATAGAGCTGTGTTCACCTGGAGAAAGAGGTGCTTTTTTTTTTTTGCTAATTATCCTAAATATAGTCTTTGGCTGATCTGTGTTGGGAGTACCATTATTGTAAGATGGTCAGGGAGATGAAGCCTCTGACATGACACTTGAGTTGACACCGAGTGACAAGGAGGCAACAGGAGAGGATTGGAGGGGAAATGTGGGCTGGGTGGAGGGGACACGGAGTGCAAAGAGCTCGGAGGCAAGAATATGTTCGGTGATTTAATCAGTCAGGGTCATCTAACTTTTCTGTAAAGGCCCAGATATGGAAATATTCTAGGTGTTGCAAGTCATAACAGTGTCTGTTGCAACGACTCAATTCTGCTGTTATAATTAATGCAAAAGTAAACGCAGTACACGAGTGGTGTTCTAATAAAGCTTTATTTACGGACACTGAAATTAGAATTTCTTATAATTTTCACGTCACAAAGTATTCTCTTGATTTCCCCTCCCCCCAACCATTTTATTTATTTTTATTTATTTTTTATTTTTTTAGAATATATTTATTTATTTATTTATTTATTTTTTAATTTTTTATTTTTCGCTAAAAGTATTACCCCCAACCATTTTAAAATGTGAAAGCCATTCTGGAGCCGTAGTTCGCAGGTATAAGGTCAGTTAGGCTAGGAACACATCATGCAGGACATGTAGGAGTTGGTAACCATCAGATGAAGGCAGATCCCCTTCCAAATGGAAAGCCACCATCAGGGTCACTGCAGGCCTGGGTACCAATTCTGGGAGGCAGCTTCCTCCAGCTCATGGAGGACATCAGGTTTGTTTTCTTTCCCCCCAGTAACAAGAAAGGACACATGAACGAAAAGGCAGGCGCGCACAGCCAGAGAAGACGTGCCCAGGTTCACGCTGACGCGCCTCCCGCACGCACTTCGGGTTTTAAAGTTGGGCGCACACCTGCTCCCGGGCAGAGCGCACCTGCTGAGCGGCTCTCTGGCCTCGTCTCGCGAGAGCGGGGCTGTAGTAGTGGCCCCCGCCCCCCCCTATCCGCACGAAAATCCCCCTCTCCCCGCTCCCTCGCCCAGCTTCCGCGGCTCCGGGATAACATCTGGCCAACCTCCATCGTGCCGGGAAGTAGTCTTGTCCGTAGATGCGGTCGCGATGGCTCCCACCCAGCGCTCTGTCGATAGCCGCGCGAGGAGGAATGGCATTTGGTAAGTTGAGTTTCTGATGCCCCAATAATATACAGCACACGGGTTCCCAATCCCTC